TAATCCAATAAAACATTGTCACTAAAATAATAAATGTATTTTATTAATTCAGAAAAATATATACTTTTAATAAACATCATTATGCAGTTTTTTAAAGCAAATAATACTAATTATTTTTTAAATCTTTTACCCGAACAAACTCCGATTTCAATAAAACCTTACCGATTTATCCGTCAAAATCGACACTTCCCCATCATCGACTATTGCGTTCTCGATTTTCTTTTGCAGCACTAAATCAAATATTCTTTGCTCTTCTGGTGTTATCTCTTCGGCTTGAATCGTAGAAACAAAAGTTAATAACAAAAGGCCGGAAAAAACAAAAAAGTTGCGCAGAAACATGTTTTTTTTTTTTTTTTTTTTTTTTTTTTTTTTTTTATCTACTAAATATATTGTCCAGTTCATGCAACAACTAGCTACAAGTTGGAGATGCAGAAAAGTGATGTTCTCGTTTACTCGAGAAGATTTAAAAAAAAATTTTGTAGTTCTAAAAATCGATCAATTGTCTCGCGCAATTTAAAAATTGGCTCCACACATGAGACGTCCCGTATACTGTTTAAAAAAATTTGTATTGCTCTGGAGTGCAAGAGAAGACGTCCGACACTTTGAATGTTTTGATTACAAAACAGAAAAAAAAAATTAAAAAATTATTGCTTTGGTGCCATAAATTTGAAGCTAATTTATTTACACCTTTTATACAAAGAATTTTGATTAAATAACTCCAAATAATTTAATACAATGTTTTTAAACAAGGGCTTCAGAGAATGTTGCTGTTTTTGTGAAAAATCCATGTATATTTTCCAACTAATATTTCAATATGTTTGGATGTGAAGAAAATATTTTCTTGAGTTTTAGTGTTTTCGTATTGATTTGTAGCTCATAAAAAAATTTAGAAAACAAAAAGCTACATGCATGTTATTTAATAGAAGTAATCTTCGTTTAAATAAAGAATACGCATTGTGCCTGAGATCTAACTCAAACTGCTAACTTGAGTTTTAATATTTAAAAAAAATATAAAAATGAACTCATAAAGAAGTTTAAACAATCGTGATAAAATTTGAAACAATTAACAATTATTTTTTTGAGTGAATTAAAACCAAACTGGGTTTTTTTAAGGGGCTACTATATCCACTGGATTTCCGT